TATATATATATATAAAATATATATAAAATAATATAATATATATATATATATATTATATTAATTTTAAATTTCTATTATTATTATATTTAATATTTAATTTACTTTCAATCTAATTTAGTTTTAAATCTGACAAGAAAAAAAACGCAATTTTTCTTACGATAAATTGAATGAGTGGTGGAAGTATAATTAATTTTTTTTAATTTAAAATAATATTAAATATCCATCTGTTGGCATTAAATCTGATGAGGGAAAAACTGTGTGTGAATATATCTTACAATAAATTAAATAGAATTTTGGGGGTGAATAATAAAGTACAATAAAATGATAAATATATTTCAACTAAATAATTTTGAAATAAATCAATTTTCAATGGTCCATAAAATTTATTTTCTATTTATTCTTTTTTTTTTTTTATTTAAAATATTAATGAAGGTTTCATGGAAGATGGGGGGGGGGCTGGTAGGGGGAGGATGAAAATGAACTTAGTCGTACGATAAAGAGAATCGTTTTATTGTGATATGTACATACAATAAATTTATTTACAAATAATACAATAAATTTCTTGACGTCTCAGTTTTACGTTTCGTTTTCTTGTTGATGAATTATTTTTGAGCTTTTTTTTTTTCCCCATGTTCTTTTTTTTCTTTTTTTTTTCTTTTTTTTTTTTTTGACGATATACATATAAATATATATTATATGTATATTAACAAAATACTACGTTTCGAAACGATTATTGTGCCATACTGATATTTTATTTTTGTCGAAACACCTTTTTGGTCACAAGTCGTAAACGTTTATACGGTAATGTTCGAATTTTTACCCTGCACGAATACTTTTTATATATTAATAATAATAATAATTTATTTATTTATTTATGTTTATTTTTTTTTTTTTTTTTTTTTTTTTAATCATATTATCTTTTTCTTTAATTTAACTTTTCGTGATTTTTATTTAAAACGAAACGTTAATCTTCTTCTTCTTCATCTCTGGTTTGTTTTTCTTGATCTTGCATCTTCCATTTGTGGTTCATCTTTTTATTCCATTATGTTGGTAGTAGTTATATTTATTCATATAAACATCACGTTGGCCATTATTAAAATTATAAAACAAGTTGGTTTTGTCGTAGCGTAGGAAGAACTCCCGTCACCGTGATGCATCGCGGCTGGATGCTCCTCTGAAACAAACAAACAAACAAAAAATTCAACCTGTCTGTATATACGCATGCACTTATGTATGCATTCATGCATGTATGTATATAGGTGGATGGGTGAGTGGGTGGATATGGAAGGGTTATGTTAGGTTAGGTAGTTAGGTAGGTAGGTAGGTAGGTAGGTACATCCGATAGTTTCACGAAGAGAAAATATCGAAAAATATGTCGAAAAAATGTTACGCTAGAAAAATTCCTTTACCGTGTCAACGAAAGAAGAAATTTTTTATATTATTATAACAAAGTTATATTTGTAAAATATGACGTTAAAAGAGTAAAAAAAAAGAAATGTATTTTTGCAAATTTTAATATTATAAATAAATAATCAAAGATTATGAATAATATTTAATAATAATATTTATCGTAACATCGATTCACGTGTGTTACATTTTTCCTTTTATTTATATATATATAATATTTTATATTATAAAAAAATATATAAATATATAAAATATTTTATATAATATTTTATATATAATATTATAATTTAATTATTATTTATTGTATTTATTAAATTAATAAAATTACAATACAATTATATAAAAATTTAATTACAATAAATTTATATTTTTTTATTACAATTTTTCATTACAATAAAATATTTTATATTATAAAATATATCAATTTATAAATATATATAAAATATAATATATGAAATATAGAAAATATTTCATATATAATAATATAAAATCCATATAAATATATTTTATCATTACCCCAACAATATAGTATGCATTACAATCTTTGTTATATCTTTAAACAAAAAATTTTTCTGACGAATTTAAAAATAAACAAAAAGAAAAAAACCTGTTGAACACTATAAATAACTTTCAATTAATAAACAACATTTATCTTAAAAATAACAAAGATAGATAGAGAATGAACTAACACTGATTATAGTAAACGTCTTTTTAACGAAGAAACAACTGTCAATATCAGTGAAAGGAGATAATATGGTTACGTTTGGATATTGCGTTGGAGGTATAATTGGAACGGTCAATGATAATACCATCGATACTATCGAACTTGACATAGGTGGTAGAGGTTGGTAGAGGTTTGAGGGGGTTGGGGGGTAATCGGTCAAGCGTAGCGATGTTCCCTTGCTTGTGGGAGAAAACATCGCGTTATATAATCTCTACCGTTCGATTGGATAATTCCAGGGGATGTTCTTTGATGTTCAAATGTAGGATAGGTGGTGGGGAAGGGGTGGAGTTGGTTTGCTGCAGTGACATGCAGCCACCCCCATTCGAAACGGCTCGCTAATCAGGTTCAACCTATATCGATTTTCCAGACATGAGATTTATCATAGAACACATTCCTGTTACGAATATGAGCTGCACTCACACGTATATCTATATATTTATATATATATATGTGTATATATAAATAAATGTATACCTGTGTATGTAATGTGATAGGTTTTTGTGGTATGTGTGTGTGTGTGTGTGTAGGTGTAGGTGTATATAGGTGTTTGGTAAACGCTTACGAATTTCCATTGCTTTCGAACATTATTTACGATTTATGATTTCGATCTAGTTTTGTTTGAGTATGTGTGATGCAAAGGGTGTCCGTTTTCAATTGATCTCATTCGATCTCCTAGAATGGTTTACGATTATTACCGTTGTTTGTCCTCGGAAAATGCAATTATATCCTTAATCAAAAAGGTATTCAATTATTTTTCTTATTGTCTTTATTTGTTTTTTGTTTTCTTTCTTGTTTTGTTGAGAAGGGAAGAAATATTTGTAATTTTGTTTTCTATTTTTTTTTTTTTTTNTTATTATAAATTTGGTATCGTAAATTATTTTTTTATTTATATTTAATTGTTTTTCAATAAAAAAAAAAAAAACAAAGAAATACTATCTGCATCGAGTAAATTATTTGTGTTTGATTTTATTTTTTATTACTTGACTTATTGTCTTTATTTTATTTCGTTCTTTTTTTCTTGTTAATAAATTATTTTTATTTATGTATAATTATCTTCTGACCCTAAAAAAATAAGAAATATATTTCATTTATTTCTTTTTTTCTTTAAATTGATTTAAATAATTTTAATTAATTTGCTTCTACATCGAGTAATTACTCGTTTGTTTCTTTTTCTTTTTTTTAATTTCTTTCTGAAAAAAAGAAAAAAATAAAGGAAGAAAGCAAGCAAGCAAGAGAGAGAGAGAGAGAGAGAGAGAGAGAGAAATTGAAAATAGAAAGAGGATGAAAAGAATAATCTTGTGAGATGAATAAACAGATCGCATAATACCAAGGGACGTAGTCGAAGGAGCTTTCACAGCTTACGTGAAAGAAAGAAATAAAAAAAAAAAAAAAACAAAGAGAAAGAGAGAGAGAGAGAGAGAGAGAGAAGAAAAAAAATAAAAATATAAAAGGAGAAATAGGAGGAGGTGGAGGTGTAGGAGGAGGTAGATTCTACAAAAGCACTTACCATCAACAACGTGGACCTTTATGCTGCTTGGATTCGCATTGCTTGGTTCACAAGTGTAAATCCCAGAGTCACTCGGAACGGCTTTTTGAATCATCAAACGACTCGTTGTTTCCGGACCCTTTTCTGTTACCAAGCTGATACCACCTCGGGGCGAGTCGAAATTGATTATCTGAATAAATAAATAAATAAATAAATAAATAAACCATCATTTCATTTTTATTCTTTTTACAATTATATTTGTCTTTATTTTACTTGATACATCAAAATTCAATGAAACATTTACAGTAGAATTAAATTCTATCAAAATTTATTTTCTTTTTATTTTATTTAAAAAAAAAAAAGTATATATATATATATTCTTTTCTTTTTCATTTAAATTGAAGTAATTTTAAATATACTATTGATATTAAATTTAATTAATTTTTGATACTTTCGAATTTTTCACTGCTACGTTTTTAAAACAAAGTTTGATTATCTGAATAAATAAATGAACCATTTTTTTCTTTTCTTTTATTTTTTTTTTTTTTACAATTATTTTTCTTCATTTTACTTGATACATCAAAATTCAATGAAACATTTACAGTATAATTTAATTCTATCAAAATTTATTTTCTTTTTATTTTAATTAAAATAAATGTATACATATATTCTTTTCTTTTTAATTTGTCCAAGTAATTTGAAATTCTTTGTTCAATATACAATTGATATTAAATTTAATTAATTTTCGATACTTCATAAATTGTCACTGCTACGTTTTTTAAACAAAAGTTTGATTATCTGAATAAATAAATAAATCGTTTTTTTTTTGCTTTTCTTTTTATTTACAATTATTTTTATTCATTTTACTTGATACATCGAAATTCAATGAATTATTTACAGTATGATTTAATTGTAAAGAATTTACGAGAAGGACAAAAATATATGTATATTAATTTCTTCTTAATTTGTTCATGTAATTTGAAATTCTTTGTTCAATATACGATTGATGTTAAATTTGATTAATTTTTGATACTTCGTAAGTCCTTATACTGCTACGTTTATAAACAAAGTTTAAATTAATCAAATGAGTGATCATCGACTATTGCACTAATTAAAAGTTACTAAGTTTCCTTATTTATTACAGTATATATATACTGTATTATATATACATAGATATATATGTATACATAGAAGAAGAGTAAAGTATCTCGTTAATTTTCTAATAAATTTAATCAGAAGCTTTACACTAACTTTCCATCTTATTGTATGCATTTTGTGTATATGTGTATACACGTATGATAAACTAACTTTCTTGAAATGGAAGAGAAAACAAAAAAGAAATAATATTTTTAATTTCCCTTCTTTCTATTAGAGTTAAAAAATTCTTTGCATTCAACATTGTCGACGAATGACGACGACGACGACRCCGACGATGCGTTGATAGAAAAATAAAAGGTTGCTTTCTTCGAGTCTTTTCAAGCTTTGTGAGACGTTGTGAAAACTATATATACATGGTATATATACATAGTATATATATATGTATGTATGTATAAGAATTTACGTATATATAATAGAAACATGAGCATATATATTTATATTTATATATATAGTGTTGTGTATGTATATATGTATATATGTATATATATTTATCTATATATATATATATATACGACACAGTTTTCGCGTATTTCCTTTGAAGATTTTCACAATAGTAGATTCGCCAGTGAAATATGCAATGTCTGTACCTTTACCTTTTTCTTTCTCTTTCTTTTTCTGTTACTATTTCTTTCTTTATTTCTTTTTCTTTCTTTTTTTTTTTTTTACCCCTTTTACTTTAGAAATTAGAGTGAGAAGTCCTATTTGTTGTGTTAGACTTTTAACGTTACTTTGCTTTGCAATGATGACCTACTACTATGTATATATATATATATATATATATGGTTGCTGATATCGACCTTTAATAATTTAGCAAATGACGAATTTTTATTACTTCAATACTTTTATATACATACGGGATTTATTTTGTGAGTAATGAGAAAAAATATGACATGTAAAAATACGTCAATAATAATATGATAGTAGTAGCAGTGGAGTAATATTTTTTTCTCATTTGACACACGAATAAATATTAAAGTTGAAAATAATGAAAAAAAAAAAAAAAATTAAAATAAAATAGTATTTATCATAATTTTCGTATGAAATGAAATATCAAATATATTTTCAAATTTATTTCGATAGTTAATTCAATGTAAACATCCCCAGTCCAGAGGGGTTATTTTAAATGTAAAAAAATATGTAGGGGTAAAAAGAGGAAGTAATTTGTGTTTGTTTTAAATTAATATTAAAATAAATATAATTAAATATTTTTTTTTTCATCATCAAATTTGCATGAAATTATATTCAATGATTTATTTATTTTTAATTTCGTCGGTCTTGTGCGTGTCAGAATTTTATAAGAAAAAAAAAAAAAAAATGAAGAATTTCTATGTAAAAAGATGAATAATTATTTATTTGAGAAAATTTTTTAAATTATTTTTATATTTAACTATAGAATTATCTTTATAAAATTATTTTTTTATTTTATTATAGAATTATTTTTATAGAATTATTTGTATATTTTATTATAGAATTATCTTTATAGAATTATTTTTATATTTTATTATAGAATTATCTTTATAGAATTATTTTTATATATTTTTATATGTTTGTATTTTTATATTTTTACATTTTTGTATTTTTATATTTTTATATTTTATTTATTTATCATTAAAAATTTTTTTATTTATTTCTAAAACCTATTAGAATTATTTGTATATTTTATTACATAATTATGTTTAAAATTATTTGCATATTTTATTATAGAATTATCTTTAGAATTATTTGTATATTTTATTATAGAATTATTTTTGGAATTATTTTTTTTATATATTTTAATATTAGTATATTTAATTTATTAATCGTTTTGAAATGTAGCTTATTAGAAATGAAATAATAGGAAAATATATAAACTGGTAGTTTAGATTTAGAACATGTTATGTTACATTATGAAAGACTTACTACGCTATTGTGGCTCCAGACCATCATCGGGGGTGGTTCCGGTGCATATCTTACGATGCACGTTAAATTGATCGTGCTTCCTTTGTTAACGAAAAGCTCTGGCTGACCGACTATGATAGTAACTGGTTCTGAAAATGAAATTTACGATAGATCAGATTTTGCTTGCTATTAACTCTCTAACCCTTTTGCACTATAATTTCATTTTATTTAGGTCAAACTACGATCTGATCTTTACTAAAGATACACCTACATATACATACATTTGTATATAACTCGAATACACGTATTATATACACGATAAAAATAATATATATATATATATATTTTTTTTTTCTTTTTTATATGAAATCAAAATTTACATCAAAACTCTGATCTCTGATATTTAAATAAATCGTACTTGTAATACATATGTGTACGATAAAAAAGTTATTTTTATTTTTTAAATAACATTCGTGACACACATCAAACCATATGCGATCTATTTTAAAATTTGACATTTCGTATAGGATAATATATTATAAAAAATTGCATATCTACCAAAGTATACAAATAAAAATATTAATTATAAAAATTTACATATAAATATATATATATATATATTATTTTGTTATAAATTATTATCAAATAAATTATATTATATAATGTATAATATAAAACACATCCTGACGTAACTCTAACGCAACATTTATGCAATTTTGAATGTCACTTTGATATAACTCAAAGCATCTTTTGCAATTTTGCAATAATTTTCATACAATTTTTTTAACTCAACTTTCATTTCAAATATGTTACTAGAAATTAATTGTCTTACAATTTGAATAAAACGCATATAAACGACTTAAATTTTTCATAAAATGAAATTAATTGTTAAAATGATTTTAAAATCTGTGAAATTTTATAAAAATATATTATAAATATCTTGATCACGTTTACTCATAGTTTGATTGTACGAATAGTTAAAAATAAAACTAGAAAACAATAGACAGAAAAGAGAATACAAAAATAACAAATCGATTGATGTTTGTCATTGACTAACCAACTATCGTCAGATGTACAGTGCGCCCTACAGGTGGTGTCGTCGAGATTTGGCATTCATAAATCCCAGTATCTTTACGTTGTGGATATCGTATTTTTAAAGTCCAATCTTCGGTATGTGGATAGTGTTGTGCTTCGAATCGTTGATCACTCGTATAAGTATAACGACCAACTGTTAATAAATGTACGTCTCGATGTCTAACCCATGACACCTGTAATCAAATATTTTTTTATTTTATTACTATTATTTTATTTTTTATTATTTATTTTAATTATTTTTATTTAACCATATAATATATGGTTAATAATAATAAAAATAATAATATAAAATAATATAAATAATAAGAATAA